CGGTGGCGCGCTCGGCGTACTGTCGCGCGCACAGGGCGGCACACGTGTCTCCCGGCGTGGGTCCTGAGTTTCACCCTACCCTTCAGGATCGAGAGACTGGGGGTGGCCCCAGACCCCATTTGGTGTGCGCTCATCCTGGCCTGCGTGAGCGTGATCCACGCAGTTTCCTCCGTTCACGGAGCCAACTTGGCCAAGCAACTGTCCCGGGAGCAGCGCGCGGGGGGTACCGGGCACTGCGCATGCGGAGCTCCAAATTCAAACAGCTGTGTCCAGGGCTGCAGTACCGGTGGACCCAGAGCCGCTGGAACTAGGGGACGTTTTCTCAGGAGGTGGCCACTGAAGAGCCATGGTGGACCGGGGTCCCTTACTCACCTCGGCCATCATTTTCTACCTGGCGATCGGGGCGGCGATCTTCGAAGTGCTGGAGGAGCCGCACTGGAAGGAGGCCAAGAAAAACTACTATACACAGAAACTGCATCTACTCAAGGAGTTTCCGTGCCTGAGCCAAGAGGGCCTGGACAAGATCCTACAGGTGAGCCGTCGAGCGCCTCAATCCCCCACACGCACCTGAAACTGTTGGGGCTACAGCCCTGTTTTAGGGACCCTTCCCTCCTACAAAGTGAGATGACACCCCTCCAAGCCAACGAGAGGTCCCAGGGTGTTGAGGAGGAAATTCCTCATCAGGTGTCAGGTCGAATGATCTGTGTCTCTAGTTCAAAGACAAGGGTTTCTCCCACGCGCGCAGGCTTGGTCAGAACCTAGTAGGTTCCGAGAAAATTTGGGGTTGACTCTAAGGTGAACTGGGCCCCGCGGTGGCTCAGTGTGGGTGTGCGGGTGCCTCCCTCTTTGGAGGGAGACTGTGGGGCGGATAAAGGCGTTTATCTTTCCTTGGAGACGCTCCCGGAGTACGGGAGCGAAGCCGGGTGCCACCCCTCGCGTCTCCACCTCCTGCTCCTGGGCCGTTGCCGCGCCCGCTCGACCTTTCTTAAGAACTTGAATATAGTTTTCCTTGAGAGCCCCCAGAGCCATCGCTGGCAGAAACATACATACCCGCGGGTCGCTTCTGTCAAGAGTGGGGCAGTGGGCTTGGAAGTGTTTTGAGTGCCGGAGGAAGGCCTGAGGCTGGAATGCTGGGGACGCTCCCTGGCTTCCGGGAAGTCTTATCAAGCTGATAAGACTCAGAGTTAAGCTTTGCCAAAGTAGCAGGTTGCACAAACGAACACCTAAAACCAGGTAGTCCCTTTTCAGGGAGGGAGGAGAGTGTGAAGGAAAGTTTCCTGGATGTTGGCTTGTGGGGTCTCTTGTCTGAGAATGCACAAACCCAGTGGACGGCTTTGACCTCACCATGGTAAACTTGGCTGACCATCTCAACTGGAACCTTAAGCCAACTTGGTGTGAGAGACTCCTCGGAACCTGTTTCTTTGAGGATTCAGCCCCAACCATCCATCCCTGTGCGGATGGCCTCCTATCAATAATGGTAGGATTAGATTGGAGCAGGTTTAGATTAGCCAAGCTACTATAGATCTGATCAGGTACATTTAATCGACATCACCTCCTCAGTTCTTTTCAGGGTCAGTTTCCTGTTTTCCTAAATGGGAACAAACCCGTCTTCATCCTTGCCCTACCATGGACTGCTTTAACGTTGAAAACTTTTGAGAAAACCTGAACACATCTTAGTGGTAGTAACCTGTTTTGTCTCCAGTTTGCAGATGGACATTCACTGAGATAAGACTTGTAATTTAGGTGCCTAAGGGATCATGGGCTATGTAGAGAATTGTCTTCAGGAAGCCTTGGAGACAGGTTTACACTACCTGGTGGGGTGTTGCATTTGAGTAGAGTCACCTGTCCCCTGTGCAGTTTCTGGGGGTGAGTTTCTAAAGATGCATGGTTGGTCTAGCTCCTATTCCAAGGGGTTCTGGAAAGATCCCAGTACCCCCTGCAAGGTGCCTGCTGTGTCTCTGTGTGCTGAAGGAAGAAGGTGGTCAGCTTATGGTTTCCCTGGAGGAAACAATATCTCGGGAGGAGAGCTCTTGTGGTTTGCCCCAGGGCTTTGTTTGTGGGGGCCAGGGGAGGATGATGGTGCTTGAGCTGCCCTTAAAGTGTCCCCCCCCTGCTGCTCCTCAGCCGTGGCAGGGGAAGGAAGGAAAGAATTCAAGGCTAAATGTGGGAAAATAAACTTCAAAACACAAGGAGAAGGGAAAGGGGGTGGGCAGGGGTTATGCAGCCGGGTGCATCTGGTGGTAGTAGCTTTACAAGCCAGGCGGTTTCCGTAGGGTGCTTGAAAAAACAAAACGCCCTTTATTTTGAGGTTGTGTCTGTCAGTGGTACCTCCACCCCCAAAGTGGACAGGTAAGAGTCAGAAAAAAGGATTTGAGCAACATCAGACCAGTGTGATTTGGAGGAAATTCTAGATGCTTGCTTAAATGAACAAGGACAGCCCTGTCACCTAACCTCCCCCCCCCCCCCCCCCCCCCCCCCACCAAGCCTTGTCAACTCCAACTGGACAAATTCCCTCCTTTTGAAGGGAAAACCCAAGAAATGAAAGGGACCGATGAAAGCAGAAAACATTGCCAGCCTCGGCTTCATCTGCAAAAATCTGCCTCTCTCCGCTTTCTGATCTGTGACTTGGGGCGCTGCCTCAGGCCTCAGGAAATTGGTTTAAGGAAAAAAACTGAAAACTCAAAAATCTTTGTTCCCATCTGGCCGCCCATGGCAGCCTGGGAATTTTCCACCTGAGGTACTGGCTTTTAGCTGGTTTGACTTTCCCAGGTCATCACAAAGCAGCCCCTTAGTTGAAAATTCCTGGGGTGGGAGCGGGAGGTAGCTGTGCTTGGGTGGGGGTGGGGTTTACTGTTGCAAACTGTGGGCTGCATAGTCAAAGGCACAGAAAAAAAGGCGAAGTCTAGGAAGACATTGTTAGGTCTTCCCTCGCCTGCTCATACTGTGGGTGAGCTGTGCCAACACACCAACCTGAGACCCCGTGACTGCCCTCCTGGCCTTTCTACTTTCTGAACTCTCTCATTAACTGCACCTAACTTGTAGGTTTTTTTATTTTATTTTATTTTTTTTTTAAGGCAGGTTCTCAGACTGGCCTAGAACTCAACTCTAGCTGAGGGTGACCTTGACCAGTGCTGCCTTCAACTTGTGTTATACCTCTTGCTGTGAATGCAGGTGCTGGGGGTAGAGCCCAGGGCATTTTTGTGCCCCAGGCAAGCATCCGCACTGTGATACATCTTGGGCTCTAATTTTAGTTGTTGTTTTTAAATAAATCTTATTTATTGGTTCATTGATTGATTGAGACAGGGTCTTACTGTGTAGCTCTGTCTGTCTTCTTCATTATGTAGACCAGGTTGGCCTCGAACTCAGATCCATCTGCCTCTGCCTCCCAAGTGCTTGGATTAAAGATATGTGCCAGTATGCTCATCTGATTTTATTTTTATTTTTTTGGTTTTTGTTTTTAGAGATAGGGTTTCTCTGTGTAGCCCTGGCTGTTGTTGAACTCACTCTATAGACCAGGCAGGCCTTGAACTCACAAGATCCTCCTGCCTCTGCCTTACTTGCCTATGAGTGCTGGGACTAAAGGCATGGGCCATCACGGCCCAGCTAGTTTTTAGGATTGGGTCCTGGTATGTAGTCCAGGTTGCCCTTGAATGCAAAATCATTCTGCCTGATCCCACTGGAGGCTGAGATTATAAGCATGTGCCTTCATGTTTGGCATCACCAGATTTTTGGTGGCTGGCTTTCCTAGCTGTTGTTAAGTGTATTCCTTTTACCTTCTTTCTGTTTTTACTCAGCAAGGGAAATTAGCATTGGTAGTGCATCCTACTGTATTGGGCACTGTGGTTAAAATTATCCTTATTCTATGGGAAGACATAAGTTGGTATTGCCTCCTGGCAGAGCCATTTCCTCATCCAACCAGTTAACTTACCTGAGCCTCAATTTCCTCATCTGCAAAATGAGCAATTTGGTGAAACTCCAGAAAAGAAGGTGTGAATAAAAGCAGGCAGGCTCTTGCCACTGCTAACATTCATTGAGTTTTATGGAGCACTCCCCGAGGAAGGCATTCTGCCAAGTACTTTACCTGGTTGCTTCGGGTGCATTAAGACAACTGACACCCAGGGAAGTTAAAGTGGCCACAAGGACAAGAACTTCAGCCTGTCTCCAAGGAGTATCTATCTACCTTTGCCAGCCCACCGAGGGAGTGTTGCTTTGTCTAAGTGAGCTGAGTTAATTGGTTCAGCTTGACTTTGGACAGCTGGGAAATTCTATTTTTTGTTTCCTCTGGAACAGGCATTGGCACGCAGGCTTCTCCGGTGTGGCTGCCTGGCTGACCCGGCACTGTCTGCGTCACTGAAATTATGCTTTGGTTTACCCTTCACTCCTTTGCACGGATGTATTTTGGAAGCCCCTCTTCCTTCTCCCTCCCCCAAAGTAGAGGACTGAGTTGAAGTGTGACAGGCTGACAACCTATTAAACAAACTGTTAGCATCCCTACAGAGGAGCTCTCAAAGGCATCTTAACATGGAACCCAGTCTGGTCAGGGAGGGGTCTCAGGAGGTGAACTTAGGCCAGAGCAGAGAGTGGAGGGGGGGGCTAACTTTGGGGGGTGTCCTCCTCTCCTAGCAAGGAAGGGTCACCAGGCTTCTTGGTGGGAATCCCATGTCTCTTGGGACTGGGATAGGATGGCAGTTGGCCTTTTTCTTCTCTGGTACCCCAGACTGAGCCCCGGGTTTCCCTGGACAGCTGACATAACTGACCCACTGTGAAAAGACCTGGATCCGGATGACCGCTTTCCCACCCGAACTCCAAAATTTGCTTTTGGTTTTTGTTTGTTATGGCATTTGCAATGGACCAAAAGGCCTCCCACATGCTAGGCAAATGCTCCCCACCCTGAACTACACCCCCAGCCCCTTCAAGCTTATTATATTCTAGGGGTTTCCATGTATACCTCCTTTCATTTCTAAAACTCTTAAATCCTTCACACATTCAACAGGAATAATTCAGGAGTAATGGCGTCTTGGAATTGTGACACCATTACTAATACCTGTCCTCCCCCAAATTATAAAAAACAAAACTCTGGACTTTGTCGTCATGACTTTTGGAAAATGTTTAAAATGAGGCATTGGAAGGCTTGGAGAAAAAGTTCTCTGAGCTTAGTTTAGGGGAACAGAGGGTTAATATGAATACCTACTTCATATTTCAAGTCACAGTGGACGCTGAGGCTCATAGCTCTCCTCACCCACCTTTGCTAGAGAAACACAGTAAGTCATTTGAGTCTTGTTTTGGAGGCTTCCATGTTTGAATTCTCAGTCGAGGGCTGCAGAATGGAAAGTGGGTTTCTCTGTATAGCCCTGGACCTCACTCTGTAGACCAGGCTGGCCCTGAACTCATAGAGATTCAACTGCCTCTGCCTCTCAAGTGCCTGAATGCTGGGATTAAAGGAGTATGCAACCACACCCAGTTTAAATTGAGTTTTTGAGAGGAAGAAGAAAGACAACTCTTCCTTCCTTCCTTCCTTCCTTCCTTCCTTCC